AGGTCAAGAGGAGCACATCAAATCCTTCTTCTCAAAGACAGCCCTTCAAATACTGAAACCCAGCTAATGCGTCTCCCCACCCTCCTCTCCATTCCTAGTCTTGTCTTCTCCAGGCTAAATATGCCTGATTCCTTCAACCAAACCTCATATGTCATTCAAAACCCTTTACCATCCTGGTTGCCCTTGTTGAGATATTCTCCAGTTTATCAATGTACTTTCCAAATTGTGGCAACATAGAATTGGCAACTAGAACCTAGAATCTGGCAATTCCAGATGAGGTCTGAGTAGGGCAGAGAGCATTACCTCCTTCCTCCTGGATGCTGTTTTTCTCTTGTGGAAACCTAAAACTGACTGAACTTTCTTGGGTGCCATGTTGTATCTTGTCCCATCCTGTCATTTCACAGGTGACGAGCCAGGCCCAGAGAATCAAAATGATTTTTGCCCAAGGTCCAGTAAATCAATGGCAGGAGCTGGGAGTCTAAAATTCAGCTTCCCCGTGATCTGTTTGTACTACAGTGCCTCCCATGGACTCTAACTGATTAGAACCCTGCTGTAACATGTCTAAATTCATCCTTCTTAAAGGAGATGGTAGACCTCATTCCAGCTGTGAAAAATCTACAGAAGAAGAATCAGAGATAGAAACTAACGAATAACCTCTTCTAGTCTCCTTTGAAGACACAAGAGAAACAGTTACACAAGCCTGGGCAAGAAGATAGTTTCTTTTTCTGTGACTAATGATGTTACATCTTAAAGGCAACCCTAAATATTTTGCCAGTGTTCAAAAATAGTTTCTAAATTGTTTCACAAAATGTATCTCACTTGAGTTTCTCAACAACCCTGGAAGGTGGGTACTATAGGTATTGTGAATTCCCAAATATTAGACTGGATTGTTGTCTAGAGTGAAGAGAGAGAGAGGACAGAATTGCAGCCATCTAGCCTGCATGAGGATGAATAACTCTTCTGTAATAATAATAATATTTATATTTTTTATCATTAGATTGTAAGCTCCTTGGGGTCAGGAACCATCTTTTGCCTTTTTTCATATCCCCAGTGCCTAACACAGTGTCTGGCTCACAGTAGGAGCTTAAGAAATGTTTATTAATTGATTGGCCTATGATTTCTTTGGTGTGTGGGCCTCCCACTGAGAGAACTCCTTCTGTGACTGAATATTATACCTGGTCTGAAAACTATAGTTGACAGTTGCTTGGGTCACTGAAGAGGTTAAGTGACTTATGTAGGGTCACCCAGGCAGTGTCAGAAGTGGGACCTGAACTCAGGTCTTCCTTACTCTAAGAGGAATTCTCTATCTACTATATGTTACTACTTCTCAACCAATACAACCACCACTACAGTAATGAGAATAATAACAAAAGTAATAGCAACAATAATATTAACAGCAATGATAATAATAATAATAAATAACATTTATATAGAGCTTTAAAGTTTGTGAAGCATTTAAAAAAGATATTTAACACCTCCTAAGAGCTTACTCACCCAATCTTCACCACCACCACTGGCCAGTTGGGTTCCCAGAGGGGTGGCTTCAGGGTTCTGGGGGTAACCCTATAGTTATCTTCTTAAAAACTAGCTCACGAGCCCCCACAGGTGTGCTTCCCCTTAATCATTCAATAGACTCAGTTCTTTAGCAAAGGCATTTTATTCAAATGGTGTTATAAAACATTTCACCAAAATATCTAGGTTACACTCAACCAGAAATATACCCAGAGTCCCAATGGGGAGCACTTACTTATTGTACAATGGTAGTGAGGTACATGTGCGAGGACCACAATTCCATTTCCTGAATTTCAGGTTCTTCATGTCTTTCTTCCCCTGTAGAAGGGTCTGCGAGTCATTCTGCCATTCATCATGGGAGGAGAGTGAGGTCTTGGTTGGTGGGCCAATCCAATTATGAGTTGGACCACTCTGTGGGTAGGCTGCCTTATAGAGATGAATGGCTAGTACAAGCTGTGAATGCAGTCTATACTTTTTAGGTATGTTCCTTGTCTTGCTAACTTCTTCATAAGCAATTAAGACATTCAAGCCTCCCACCCTTCTTAGGGTGGACAATGTTTATTTTGCATCTAAAGGTTTTCTCATTTACCTTCAATATCTCCATCATTTAGCCTCTGTAGACCTTCAGTTTTTTTCTGAAGTCTCACTAGGGCACCCCCCCCTTTACATCTACATTATCTCATCTAATCTTCACACCAACCTTATTAGGTTAAGTATTACAAATATTATTCATTCAATCATTAAACATTTATTAAGTGCCTCTTACATGCCAGGCACTGTGCTTACAAATAAAGGCAAAAGACAGTCCCTGATCTCAAGGAGCTCATAGTCTAATAGGTATTATCTTACCTGTTTTATAGGTGAAGGAAACTGAGGATCAGAGAGGCAAAATTATTTCCTCATATCGCAACAGCCGAATGTCAGGATCTGAATTTGAGCTCAGGTTACTCCCAGCTCCAACTTAAGTGCTGGCTCAATCACTTTATTCATTCTTAAAAAACCAAGTCCATTTCACTGAAACTCTCCTCTTCTCACCTCCTTTTCCTCACCCCTTTTCCCTCACCATCTCCTTCCTCCCTCTCCCATGATGAGTTGGCCTTTCTACTTGCCAATCCCATCCTATCTTCTCCAGCAGATTGCTCCCATTATCATCTCCACTCTCTCACTCATCTTCAATCTCTCTCCATCTATTCTTTGCTATCTACAAACATGCCCATATCTTCCCAACCTTAAAAAACCCTCCCTGATTCTATCATCATCACTAGCTATTGTCCTATAACTCTCCTCCCTTTCATGGCTAAACCTGAGAATGCTGTCTACACATGGTACTTCCACGTCCATTCCTCTCATTGGCTTCTAAGCCCTCTGCAGCCTAGCTTCTGCCCTCATCATTCAATTGAAACTGCTCTCTCCAAAGTTACCAATTATCTTTTAAAAAGAACTGCTGTAATTTACTTTTTTTAATAACCATTTCTCC